AACGGTGTCTCCAACCATACAAACGAATACTTCATCTTTTCTACCTCCTTGCATGTGTTTGTGTCCCCCTCGAATCGGAACCGAGCGTTTCTCTCGTCCATTTAGACTTTGTTAATCTGACTCGCTAGCTACGCAGCAGCGACTACCATACCTTAAACAATGTAAGATTGTGTCCGGTAGCTTGCCTCAGGAGCGTTGTCCCAACCATTCCTTTGACTCGGTGCTTATCATGGCACGAAGCGCGTGTCTTGTTTCGTACTCGCTCTTTTGTCCAAGAGAATGAACAGCAATAAGAAGTCGGTTGTATAATACCGTTTTTTTCCTGACATTGCCCTCCACAGTGTTCTTCTCTTGCACTTTGATTTTTCTGTCTCGCTGATACTCGTGTAATAACCTTCAGTGAGCTCGTCTCTGTAACCTGCCTGCACGATTGACGGCTTTACGACAGACCTCGCGGCAGCCTGTTTCTTTGCTGCCTTTTTATCAACCACTCGCGTTCTTGATTTTAGGTTTTTTCGCACAGCTAGAGTCCACTGTCGGAGTTAACTGGTTCAGCTGACTACAAAGCTGACTGGTGGCTAATGGCCGTTTCTTTTTCCTACCCGTCTCGTTGGCTCCCTTTGTTCTCACCTCTCTCGGGTGGGTTTCGTCCCTTCTTCTTTTTTTAATCCCCCTTCTCTTCGAGAAACTGGCAGTTTCGAAAAAAAAAAAAAAAACTTTTCCCGTCACTTCTAACGATTCCGAAATCGGGGGTATTCATTCCAGGTCACGATCACTGTCTCGTCTACCGATGGGTAAATTCTTAGTCGGTGTAGCTGTTATTCTATTTTCAACGATATCTCACGAACCGATTTTATTTCAAACACTACCTTTATTCAAGCCTCGTATATGTCTATGCATATTGTCTCTGAAACCTCTACTTTCCTCTTTAGGAGCATTGCGAATGGCAGAGGTAGCAGACACAGGAAAGACACAGCCGATGCAGAACTCAAATTGTACTTTCGTCGTGCCGTACGGCCACGTAAATGTGGGCCGGGCTTTAACTTCATGGGGTCAATGTTAATATATCAAGTAGAAGTATCATCATGTTTCTATAGTATTTCATATAATTTCCGTCACAGCCTTCATATAATTAATAATGAATTGTAAGCCTCTTTTACAGCTGTTATATCCTGTCTTTCTTTAAGCAAAGCTGTTTCGTTTTGGCTAGGAAAAGGAGTACAGCTGCTATCTTTGATAAGAACGTTGTTCAATTAATTTTTAAAAGCTTCGATCTTGTAAACACTTCCTAAAATTTCTCTCACTAGACATCTCATTTTAGTAACCTAAATAGACGTTTTGCCCCCATAATACAGTACGAGCAGCGTATTTTTCAATAGATCGTCGCAAACACTACGTTTAAAATGAACATCATTACGTTGCTGAGTTGCCTATGTATGCTATTCTAAATTCTAAAAATGCACGATTCGGTCGCCAATGAAGTCTATCGCATTTTGTATATTTTAACAGTTTTCTAGAAATTCTTAATAAATGAATGTCGAGGTCACTTTGTGCCTTCGTTCAGCGCTTAGCAACGACCAGCTGCAATGGCGTGTCATTATACGGTACTGTTATGAACAATACCGGAGAGTAGACATCCATCTACTGTGTCCACATCTAGCGACGTGTAGAATCTGCAAGCAAGCTTAATTCATTCAACTACAGATTCGCAACTACCTTAAATCGGCTATGTCAAAACTGAAAGCTCTCAAATCCTTGCTATACTGTAGTTATCGCACATGACAGGGTTGGCTGAACCTCTAATGAATTGGATAATGAGAGAGCACTCCCATTGAATGTCAATGGATGATACGTCGACTGTACAGAGAGCAATCGTGAACAAACAAAATGGCCGCGGCCAATTCATCCGGTGCTTGAATTTGTTTCAATAAATCTACACGGAGCCCAAACTTCTGGCTTGCTACGCAGGCAACCCAAGTTCACTCTGTTTAACGCGGACCTAGCTTGTGCATTATTAGCCTTTCCAGTTGTATCATGATTTTACATGAAGAAGATCACTGTTTTCTATAAATTCGTTAGCGATTCAATGCATCAACATCAGCTATTTTAATGGATATAATTGGATTGTTCGGCTATAACAAGTATGTTTAGTTTCAGATGAGTGAGGTTCTCTTTATTTTTAATGGAGCCATTTACGAGACACTGGAGAAAATCAACGTCGAAATCAACGACATCTCCGTAGCGGTCTTAACAGGTCTGGGACATCCTCATATCCTCTTTAAACATCAACTTGAAGGCATTACATTTTATTTATGAATGCAAAAAGGAATCTACTTATAAACTGTATAAAGTACATATGTATTGACGGTTTCCGCCACACAAATAGCGAGTTTTCTACAACCTATAGAATACACTTTCCATTTCTATTCTAATGTTATTCATATATATTTTTTACTTTGAGTTTTACGTCCTATATTCTCGTTAGGTTTTGTCTACAGTGGATTAAGCGAGTGTGGTGCGCATCACCCCGCACAGGGGAGGCAGGTATAGTAGGTGGAGTCTCGATTTCTCTTGGGACGTTATGACATGGATCCGCCGTGCGTTCTACAAAAGTCGTGAAAACGGCACACGTCCGTACAACAAACATCGATTGGCCATGTATTAACGAAATTTCTTTTGTTTCGAGGTTGTGATCTATTTATCCAAAATCCAGTGATTCAAAAAGACTAAAACCAGTCGACTCCTGACACGATGCTACACTGGAAAGGACATTTTTCAGAACCGCCAGAGGTGATCAGAGGGAAAAAAAAGTTAGTAGAATGGCTACTTGTGACGACTAAATTACTTCATCCGCAGAGCACAACCTTCACTGAGCTTCACACACAGCCAAAGCAAGCAGACAGATGCAGGGGCCAGTCGAAGCCATAGTTTCAGTTATAAGTTGGTTTATCACAGTGGTTCCCCGACAAACATACTTGTATATAAGGACTGCTAAAGTGACCGCGCGCCCTACAGATGAAATTTGTGTGCTAAAAGGGGAAGAAGACCAAGTGACCCAAATCAGTTGGTTATTTGTTAATCAAATGGATTTCTTGATTCTCGATATACGGTCGAGCGTACTTTCAACGAACGCTTTATAACTACAGCGATGTGTATGAATGCCGCGCTTTTACTGACAGCCACCTGGTGAGAACGGCCCGTCATACCTTAACTATCCTGCGGCAACTTAAGGTTGAAACGTTCCAAACATGGACGGGAACGAACAGTGCAGCGACCTGACACTGGATGGACTCTGTAGTCGATGGCTACGACGTGTTCTTTACGAAACGTGTATCTCACAATCAATTTACACTCGTGATTAACGCATCGAGTTCTTGGACTAAAAAAAATAAGCTTGTTTTATGAAAAACAATTTCGGCCAAAATATAAGTCTTGGCGTTTGTTCTCGGGAGACCTCATATTGAGCTATTCGATTCCCTCGATGGAGACAAGTTGTATGAATGAATCCGAATGAAAAAATACTTTTACAGAAAACGAATCGATTTACTCTAATAGCGAGGTTCGTCTGTCGGCTCAGAAGACGGAGATATGTTCACAAGTGTAAAGACCTTGATTCAACCGTTCAGTTGATGACCGTTCAGTGTCGTGCTCTCAATCCTATTAGTAGTCTAAAGCAACTTGTGACCGGATATGTTGACATCATAATTTTCCCTAACCAATTCTCTCTATTATCCAGAAACTACTGCCCTTGATGAAGTAGGGAGGGCTGATGGCTTGTCTTCAACGTCAATGACTTTAATTCAATTCCAAATTCAACTTAGGCAGTAGTTGGCGGTTTGGTATTAGTTTAATAATTTAAAACTGGGGTCGGCGTCGCACATTTGAAGCTACTACTTTGTCACCATTTATTCGTCAACGGTATACACCAAACCATTAAACAATCTACAGTGAGTTTTCCTGAGGAGTTCCCGATTTATTGACCTAACGGTTAAACCTTAAACACCCTTGCCACGTCGCACGTTATCAAAACCAAGTGTTAACCACACTGGTTAAGCACAAGCGAAATTACGTCACTTTCTTTGTTATGTTTACTTTGACACAAAAGTTGTCGACGGCTGGCGCTTATACAGCTGTAAACGTTGCATTTATTCATATATTTAAAGAACCTAATTGACTTATTATATTCAGAGTTCTGAAACTTTCTTTAGCTACATAGGCCACACCACTTTACTTCACAAAAATGAGGCCAAGCCTTGATAATTTGGTGGCTACGATCTGCGGTCTATAGCTTCTTTGTTCGAAAAAGCATATTTTGATACGGACCAATATAGGTTCGCAAAATGTAGATCAACGGCAACATGTCTTAGACAATATTCTGCAGTCACTCCTAAGCGCTGCACTGCATTTATTTCAGTTTTTCTTAAAATTGAAATCTGTTGATTAAAAAAGGATAGTGAACTATTTATTGATCCAATCGAAAGCTCTATATCAAATTCGTAATGCCTTCACCTTTCGAAGAAGTTTTCTTTTCGAATGGACTTCTGTCATATTGTACCAGTTTCCTTCTCTATGCCACTCATTAGCATTTTCAATATAAGTGATGCTTTTCCAGCTGGGACTCAGTTTAAGTTCTATGCTAATGACTTAACCAATGGTCTCTCTGACAATGATGACGATCGAAGTAGCATTGCTTGCTTTAGCGGTATATAAGTAGCGATCACCGCTGTACCATGTCGCGTGCCCTTAGCAACAGGATTATGTTTCAGACGGGCTTCGACCTCGTTTTATGTTTCATAAATATTATTAATTAGATAAGCACTTCACATTTTGGGCATATCAATCAATATTTTGTAATCAGAAAGTACAAATTTCATGTTAAACATTATAAAGGTCACGTCAACGAACTTGCTGCATTGATCTGAAATGCAATGACACCTTATATGTAGAAATTCACATATGCTCTCAAAACAATGCGAAATTTATTATTTGCGAATATATACCTTTAGCCCATATCTTGCAATCGGACGATTACATGCTCCATAGGGGATTTTCATCCGGTTCACACACACGTGCCATTGAATCGCATATACACAAAACGCGCACAGGCGCACGCCCACACCATTGGCCTTTCTAAATATATATCAATGTCTATATGACTAGTCGACAGCAAGTTGTTGGCTGTGGGTAGCCTACTTCAGTGCAAGGAGGCACCCCATGTGCAGAAGCCAAATTTCCTTTTATAATCGGTACTGCGTTCACGTTAAGCAGTGTGTTAGGCCGCAAACGGTTTAAAAGCCGATCAAATCTTTCGGTACAAAGCATAAGATCGAATTTTTTACAGGCTGTCTTTGCAAATTCCCACAACATAGAGGGACACGATTCTAAATACTCACGTTCTCCATTAACCCAAATATTTAGAGGCCGATTGCATAGTGAGTCAGATTTTATAGTCACTACAAGTTACTTCAATTGTCATACGTCCAAGCCGTCCTAGGCAAAAGCGCTGGTGTCAAATGGTGATATTATTGCGAAACGTGATCCACCATGCATATGTTGGAAAAGTCACACGTCAGCTTCGTCTGCTGTTGACAGTGCTACCTCCAGCACGTTCACATTAGTAAAAATAATTCCTCTATTATTAGCCTCTGTGGCAGCTACGAAAGGGGACGAGGAGGAATGGGAAGACCGTTCTGTTATGGAGGTAATAGTTTCGTCACGCAATTCCATTTACTAAGCCCTATTATTCGCTCATTATATAATGTACCGATTGGTAGAATAAATGATACTGAAAGTACGTTACGAAGATGTGAGCAGATAATAGAACTCCTTAGCAGCTATTAGGCATTAGACGGTAACGTTCAGCGAAGTCGAATTTACCACTCTAATGTCAGCCAAAAAGCTGAGTTGTTACTGCTTCACTTCAACAGAAAGTTTTGTGAGGTAGACCATCATGACGTCTGCTGGATCAATTGAATTTTGGACAAAAACGGTGAATCACTTATTCGTACTAACGCAATTGTCACTAACGCAAGTTATGCTATCATTATTAGTCGTAAGTTTAACGCCTAAATATACAACTGTATTTATCACGCCACAACAAACTGCGTTCATATTTGGCAAACTTACGGATATTATCAAACAAATAGATCGACAACCACTTTCCTACTTTTCTTAGAAAACACGCATTTCTTTATTTATAAGAAAAATCTATTTATTTCATGTTGTGTTTTCAGCTCCGTCCAATAGCCCCTTCCATATAAATTGAAAGATATATCAAACAAGACGAAAAGGCAAATGTAGCTACGATGGCTCCTTCTAAAACTATTTGAGGCTGGTTGTTGAGACTAGGGTTTTTGGCCATTTCGAAAAAAAGTTTATTTTTGTCCTACGCCATATTTGATTAAGAAAACTCTTGTTAAACACTGTAATGTTTTGAAAGCAACATTATCGGCTATTGGAACAAATGTGCGAGTGCACATTAGGATTATAGCTCTGTACGACCGAGGCTTCGAGGTTCAACCCTCGGGTAGCATCATATATGATACTTTCCGAAGCTTGAACCTTGAATATTTCAGTCAGTTATACATAACTGACTGAAAGTACATCTGCAATATTTACGCCACGACAACTGACTTCGCCTACTTCAAATAGTAAAGGAAAAATAAGCTCTGGCTGCTTTCGATACCAAGAAAAACGTTGGGCTATACCAGCATAATGATAAATTGAATTTATCTAGGTAATTTTCTTAGAAAAAATTCACTAGTCTCTTTGATGATATTGTATTATTTGTTGGTATACACGCTGGCTGCGAAAAAAAAAGTTTACAAAGGAACAGATTTTAAAGAACTTATTGTGAAACGAATGCGCTTACATTATGACAACTTAAATTGAAGTAAGAAAATGATCATGTTATTTTGATTATTTTGTGTGTGATAGACGCAGATATATTCAGTTCTTTGATAAACTTATGAACCATAACTAAAAAGGCGTTCGCCTATTTTTTTTCCATGTATACCTGTAAAGCAATGTTTCTCAATGTCTTTTCTGTAGGCCCATACGTCCTGTGAACACCTTTTGTATTAGTTTATTATTCCGATATTCAAAAGTCACGGTCATACATTACGTGTCAGTACACACATTACTTCCTTTGAAAATGTTCACATCTGATCCGCTGTGATAACAGATAAATACAGTGCACTGATTCTAATCAGCGACGGCATCAATAAGGCCATTTCTGTTATAAAGGACACGTCTGAAGTTGAAAAGTTTTCACTTGCTTCGAAGAACGTAAGTTCCAGATGGCAACTTTTTGAGAGTGGTCCTATGCTGTAGCCTGATCTTAGGCGGAGCAGAAAAGAGCTTAAGAACTTTCATAGATATTACGCGATTCGATTTCTATTAGCTGATAGCAGTTTGCTACGCCATCACTGCTGGTCAATTTTTGTGTACTCCACCCAACAGTAATGGTAGTGAATGTATAGCACAGAATAATGGCTAATTAAAGCACGTCTCTTGATTGGCACATAGTAAGCGGCTTAATTCTACGAGGCTTTCATTGGGCCAAATAAATCGCTTACGCCTCCGAATCACTACCACTCATACTAGCGCATCATCTGCGTCCCCGCCAGGATCGGTCCGATTCACCTCTTACGAATCAACTGAGCAGATTATATCGCTAAAGCCAAAAAAAAACATCCAAATAAATTAAAAATTTTCTGAATATACAAATTTCAAGCCTATCGACAAAAGCTATGAAATTTGGGTCTATTTAAGTAGGACGACCTTGAGCGGCACCAGCTTTGTTTCAGCGTAACGCGCCATTAACGTTTGTCTGTTTTTGTTCTTGGTTCACGTATTGCAAAATGAAGCCGTCTCTTTGCTCGATAAAGACCTACCAAAGCGCATAATACACGCTGGTACAAGTTGCACAAGCCTGTGCGATGTTCGTGTTGCCTGGTTTAGGATCGCGCTATCTTTTTTCTTTCTACGGTATCACTGAATTGCCCTGGCCTGAGTCACTGAGTTGCTTCGCCAAGATAAACTTAGATGGATCGAGTATGTCTAGTTGGTTCCCGCGTAAAACTTTGGCCTCCAAACTAGTATGTGATCTCTATTCAGCATTAAAAATGCGCATGAACAGAGTGAAATAGAGATCGTTAATAATACTGGCTTGCGTCAATAATAATAGACCATATGTATGAAACCAGCTTACCAATTTGCAGAATTAAGGAAGTACACATGTGAAGAGGGGTTTGCCGTTGAAAAAATTATCCGTTGAAAGCACACAAGTCGAACAAATTTACCTCCGAAGTAACATTTTAGCATTCTGAATACATTTTCGAATGCCAAAGTTAACTTTGTGCTTACTAATTCCTATTAATTCCTAATTAATATTAAGTAAGTTATCTGTCGAGACCAATACAATCTATTTACAGTGACAGAATTCAATGCCTTCATTCTGATAGTTTTTCAGCGTCGACAGATAATTTGGTATTATTTCGCGTGGCCATTAATTTTAGAATTCAATCAATCCGGATATTATGACATATATTGGTAAGTTTTATCCAGTACAGGTGCACTTTATATGGTACATAATTGAAGCGTTACTCTGTATTTAGGCAATTACGTTGAAGTAATTGTTTATAATTGTATTCAATGGATGATGCATAGCCTTACTTTACTACGTCCGACGGATGGTTGAGGCTGAAAACCAGAAATAAATGATAAGTAAAATTTCAATTTCACTATTACCTACTGTTTCGTAGAGTTTTGTAGTTCAATGCTACTTTGATCTCTGGTATCATACTTTGTTTACAGAATCATCTTCAGCAACTGCTCGCGCGCAACAGCTACATGGCGTACGCGAGAAGGGCAGGCATATAGGTCCTATCGATTGGTTATTCACACTTCCTCTTTACTTCGACTCAGAACAATCTATAAAACTAGTAAGCTCCGTAAACATTATTTAAGGTACATGCCAATGGCTGCACAAGGGCTTGTGGGCCGAGGAGGACGAAGATTAGTTTCCTTCATACATCGAGAAACCAAACCATATATATGTCTTCGTGTGCACTTGATCCAGCCGTTTTATCTAACGTGGGCACCGTTAGCAATGCCTCACGTTCGGGCCCCGTTATCTACTTACAACACGAACTCAAAATGAACCGATATGCCAGTCGATTCTCTATTTGCACAGGTCTTCACTGCTTATTAACGAGACACAGACCGCGAATCCGTTCAACACTTGAGGTTTGATACAAGATAGTTGTATGTTAATACTGAGACATAAACAAACGCCAACCCGACATAAGTACTAATCGACATTTATTTCACTAGCAAATGTTTATACAGCTTGTAAGTATTACCCAAGATACGTGAATCTATCTACGGCTAATAAAAGAAACAACTATTTAGTTAAAAGCGTTATCTTCCCTTAAGAAAATATAAATTGACTTCTTCACGATGTATCGCAACTTACAAGTAAAGTCGTTGCAACACTCAGTATCAACAAGACTATCAAGCTTGATCTTCTGATTTAGCTTAGATTGGGCTTAGATCTTCTGAATTAGCCAAGCTGCAAAACGTGCGTCACCTATGAATTTGTCCTTCACTAAATGAAAATATGATTTACATTCAACACATAAATAGCAACGATAATACTAATGTTCCCTTCGTAGAGTTAATATCATGGGGTAAATTCCATAAAATTTAATATTATAACTATGCTATATATACGTTTCTGTACTTTTTGTTATTTCCTATGTACGTACGCTGTACGAGCAATCGCAAATTACTGTGGCTTCTTACTTACAAACTTGTCGAGGATCTTGTCCCAATCGAAGGAATGAACACTTGGCACCGCTTGACCATACAGTATGTACAATACTAAGCTACAAACATCCTAATATAGGAATACATATATATGTATATGTTATTATAGGTGGTAAAAAAGTACGGTGATGTATGTTGAAGGTTCAATTGACAAATGTTCAACGACCTTATTACATCGTAACTTATAGTATAACAGTCTAGGAGGAACAGGCTATCCAAAAAGAAGGAAAGACAAATAGTGTCGTCCTACGTAAGTTGTACGTGGACCGCATTGTTGCTCTAACTTACGGGATTGAAAAAATATCGTACCCTAGATTGTATTCAGATTACCGCAGCACGAGATATCTAGGCAACAGCGATTCGTCTATACTAATGATTACATAGCGAAATCGAGCACACATGAACCGGAAATACACATAGAATGAATCGTAGAATCCACACACCCTACACAAGCAGATATGTTATGGTATTATAATTAGTTGAGACTAAAACAGAAGCAACTGTTTTATCTGAACACCCGTCTGTTTTACTTAATGCACTTTGTCGTATTGAAAATATTTTGTCTATCGAACAATTTGAAAATTAGGAACTAAATACTTTCGAGGTTCATAAGAACGGTTGAAAAATACGAAATGAAATTTTTTTTCGATAAAACAAGAAAATGAAAAATTTCCTACCCTTTTCCAAAGAATAGCAAGTTATACATAGTCAATAGGGCATATCTCCATCACCGGCTACTATATTGTTTCTACTCAAACTACATCAAACGAAGGAAAGGTGACCGAAAATATCAGAGGCAAAGTAATGCCGTTGAAAGCGTTCATTTTTGAGAAGTATGACAAAAACCTAATATTCACCATACATTTCATCTAAGAATCAAACCTACACTTCGTATATTAACAACTTCGCGTGGATGTTGTCGGGCGTATCACGTAAATCGGAAAAGGTTACCGTCATATTTTTCACGTGACGATTTCGAGTAATTCCGAAGGGTGCCTATATCAACCAGCTTACTCTGATGTACTAGTATCTTTCAACTAACTAGTTAATGGTGACTGTCAAATTACACTAATTTTTTCTTGTGAGACTATTATAGAAGCTTTTTCAGAAAACTAATTTGCTACATATTTAAGAAGCCCAAAATCTGCTTTTGCTGAATAGATCTAGTTTAAAACTTAAGTATGTATTTGTCATTAGAAATGGACATATCTAAATCTGCGTGCGTTTCACATACTTCAGTTACTTGTAGCAGAAATTACTCAGTGACCACATGAACCTGATTTGCTACTATACATATTAATAAAACGTAAAAGTTTTGGATAAAAGAGTATAAACGACGCGCTTGTTTTGTATCTTCGTTTTTTTGAAGCTAATTTAGATATAGTTAATTAGGTCTGTCCGTCGTTTATGCCAAACTCCACCACAGATTACATGATACAATTATATGAAAGCGGCCCAGGCTGCAAATTTGCTATCAGCAATTTACTACAATTAGCCTTTACACAAAACTTAATGTGCAAAAACAGTATTTAGCTATCTCAAAAAATGAATAGTAATTTAAACGCCTAGAACGATCTTGCTTTGAAAAACAAAGTATGGTACTAGGTTCCTAATGAAATTCTGTCGTTACAACTCTGCAAGGTATTTTTTACAGAAATAACTCTATCGCAACTAATTGTAATCCTAAGCATCGGCTTAGATCTATACATTTTGTCAACTAATCCCCAAGTTCCATGTCGGTGATCAAGGTATAACCCTTGCTTTGCTAGAATCAACTTTAATCACTCTATCTAAATTAAGTTATTAACAGATACGTATCACTCATATTTCTGTAAGCTGAACTCTACGAGGATCGGGCTGTTGCTGGATGTTACAGTTCAAATGACGAACGTAAAGATTCCACAGTCAGATAAGCGCACACGTAATCAACTTCTCAATTGAATGAAGCGACCTTTAGCTTTAGTTCAACGATTACTGTATTGTTTATTTCGGTATATCATTGTTTCAAAACCGATACATAATTCATAAGGATAGTATGTGTACGATTGTGTATGTATATAGTTACAGTGTACTAAGCATATAAGAAACAACGTATATCAGCTTATATGTCGAACGAGCTGACGATATACACAGCGAATTGTTCAGTTATACGAGAAAACGATGTCATATTGCTACGATACACCATTCGAATCATTTCACATTACGATACAGCAAATTGATTTTATTAGTTATCGCACTAGCTATCGCATACGTACACCCTACATTTTATCATAAGGTTATATATAGCTCATCTTAGGTAGATCAGAGATGATATAACTGTTACTGGAATTTGTCCAACATAAATAATGAGTTTCGGACTATTTACATTTAAGGCTAGCATCCCAATTCAGCAGTAGATAACTATTATGTTCAGTGTTCGTGCTCACTATTGAAGCTGACCTATGCTTGCATCGAGATAATCATAATTGTACATATTTTACTTACCAATACTGACCTTCTATCATTCCTTTTGCAATATGATTATAAAATTAGGTTTACATACGGTGTGTCGATTTAGCTAATATTAATCGCAGGGAAACTGCAAACTGTAACAAAGGAACTATAAATACATATATGCACAAATCACAACGTATTTTTCTTTTCTTTACACAACACGCGCTATATTCAGTCCTGAATTAACAGGCAATGTTATCCTTGCTTAATTCCTAATCACTAGAACGTGTTTTTTTGGCCGTGGATGAAAACTGGACAATGTCTCCAATGTTGCTTCCAGCTATTTCAATAATTTGGGGCTGTCCTTGAATTATGTGTCCTTGATTAGGTAACATGGAGATTTGTGGCCTTACGGAGATCGTTGGCGCACTAGATACCACAGGCCTATTACAAATAAAACAACATTTAAGATGCCGATTCAATTTCAGTTAGGCGTTTGCAGGAATTAGATCGAAAGAGAACTCGATGCATCCAAGAATTATATCCGATAAAATGGTACGGAATAGGCAGAAAACTAACATTATACATCGACGTAGTAGTAGGAACCATAATTCACCTCTATATGACAAACCAAGACGGACATATATTTTATAAGAAAGAAGAAGTCGTTCGCACCAAATTTCACTTGAGATAAAATTAATAGAAGCCAACCATTTGGCTATTATAGTATTATTAGTATCTTGGTGGTCTAGTGCAACTGGTTTAATGCGCCATATGGTAGTGCGTATCCTGTAAGATTTAAAGAAATTAAAATTTGCATCTAATAAGAGACGACGACAAAAGGAAAGTTGGTACTTTACATAATTAAGGTTGGTTCCGCTACGACGAGAAAAATTAACAACCTACCTTTTGTTAATGTTGATAACTTGTCCTCCCAGGGTCGTTATGGGATTCGTAATGGAAAATTGCCGAGATACCCCTATCGTTCCTGGGGATGTTGGCGATGGTATTCTAGCATCCACAGTTCTAAATGGTTCAATAATTTGCACAGTCGGCGCTGACGATTTTGGACCACACGTAGCAGCCTTTAACACAATGCGTTGTCCAGGGCGCAATAGGTGACGAGGTACCACAAGGTTGTATTTGGCTGGGGCATTTGGGTCCTACAGATAAAATTAAATGATGTAAATGCTAACTATAAACCTTTTCAATAGCTATCAAACACACAGAGTAAAATAAATAAATGTTAAATCTATTATGTTGAAATTTCATGAGAGTAATTTCGTTACGTTTACTAGTAAACCGAAAATGCTAGATAGATTGCACATTGTAGTTGACTGGCCATACACTAACTGCATAACTATTTTTATATAATCTGAACTAAGCTCATATTGAGTTCATTCCATCCTCGTATAGAGAGGCGCAACCTACATTTGGGTTTCTCAAGATCGAGACATACGGTGCACGAGGCCTAACGGCCGAACTTTGTGGAGGTCGTGCTACCTGATCAACTAAAGCACGTACACAAGCTCCTACAGCGCGCTCGACAGACATATCTTTTTCAGGAGGATCACTGTTATTAGCCTGGAATCGAGTCAATGCGGATGGATACATTATACAGGATTTTATTCATATACCGGCTAAATTAATCAGCACATGTATGTCCCGTACATTAACGATCAGTAGACCTATGATACAAATGAAGTATTTAAAGAAATAGCTAATCATGCCCTGCAGAAGGGATAACATATTCTCAAGTAAACCTCAGTTACTTTTCTATTCATCTCACTTCTAAAAGTTCGGGTTAGGTGAATTTATTTACTAAAAAAGTACCTCTGGTTCGAAGGATAACAATTCGATATCGCCCTCTGGGCATATGAGATTAGACTTGGCGCTGGGGCCTTCCTCCAGGGTTTCCTGATCATGCGTCTTAGTAACTTCCATGACAGATGATGTTTCGCAAATTTCGTTTGAGGTTACAGTTTCAGTAACCACATTCGCAAATTCATCTGGCATATTTACTTTGGGGATCCTTGTGGTGAAAACGTTGCGAGGAACCAGCCTCCTAAAAAGCATAGATGAGAGCCGAAATACATATCATATAGGATATATATCATATAGAAACACTAATGAACTTGAATCATAACACGGGTCAATTTCTCTACTTGTAATATATATATATTTAGTTCAGGTCGCAGATTCACTCCACTGAACAATGGCTTAAAATTAGACAGATTAGACAATACTGAAACTACGTACATTTTGTTAAGTGAAATAAACGTTGTATTCATTCAAGGCAAACAGGGTACATTAATTATACAGCTTACGGAATTTGAGAACATGCAGAGTAGACAATAGCCGCAGGAACGGTAGTTCCGATGGATCCAGAAGATCCGAGTGGAATCTGCGCTGTGACTGCAGAGGTAGAAGTCGTTCCAGTTAGGGGCATTTGCATCGATGGGCTGCTACTTAACGTGATCACTGCTGGCGGTTGTTCTGGTTGCTGATGTAGTTGCATGTTATGTTGCGTTTGTTGTTGAACCTGTAGTTGTTGTTGCGTTTCTTGTGGAACCTGTAGTTGTTGTTGCGTTTCTTGTTGAACTTGTAGCTGTTGTTGTATTTGATGTTGAATCTGTAGTTGTTGTTGTGTCTGTTGTTGAACTAGTAGCTGTTGTTCCTGAACCTGTGGTTGTTGTTGTGCTGACTGCTGCGTTACTTGTAACTGTTGTGGCCGATTACTGCTGCCACAAAGTAGGCTAGTCTCCTTTTGCCGGTTTTGTTGAACAATTCCACGACGAACAAGCGCGATAGACGAACTCAAGTCGCTGGTACTAGCAAAAGGATCAAACACTGACGTTTTGGGGCTCAGTGGTTGGGGGCGGCCTTTCTGGATAACACTTCAGGTTAAAAAAAAATAGATTCGATTAGAGATTAATTCAAAAACAAGTCTAAAATACTAGACTGATTACACAGAACATATTTTGCGTATATACTACTAACCTTTGTTATCGATAATACATTATAGGATTACTATGTCAATAATATTGCATGCTGTCTTGAGCGTAGTCACGTACATGGCAGTCAATGAACAGCTTACTTTTGCAACGTGTGACTACTGGGTAGAGGCATCTTTAAGTGAAGAATCTCTTGGTAGCCCTGTGGTGAACAAAGAAAGTAAAGCTTTGCGGCCTTCTTCAATGTTCCATCATCCCAGCTTGAACCCTACGTGGGCCGCGAAATAAGAACAATTAAACAAAACAATTGGTAGTAATAAGTACTTCCTTTATTAGCTTAACTGTAAAAAATTTCTGCGAGTTCCTCTGTGAACCAGCGGCGAATGGAAATATCATTAATAGTATCAATTAGTCCATTCACTCAATCAAATGCCCAACTAGAATCTAAATGTATTTATAATATAGACTTTTTACGAAAACATAGGCTAATTTAAAACGTTGTCAAAATCAGTTAATAAAGCACAATAACGGTTGCGTATCAAAATGAAATTGTGCATAGAACTTACGCCGCGTCGCTTCTGGCAATGTCCCGTCAGAATACGGACAATTTGGTCCCCGTTGAAAATTTTTCCTATGTTGTCAAGAAATGTCTTCTCTTTTGTGTGGTATTCGTCCAAGAGCCGCTTCGATAAGTCGAGCTTTTTTTGGTAGATCTGCAGCATCATTTCCAGCTCCGCCTGTTTAATCTCCTATTACAGAAATGTTAAATCAAGGCCATCCATATGAATTACGAATCAGCCGAAGATACGAAATGCCAATGGTATTTGTTTGCCAGTATACAGCTAACAGTAATTTTCGAGCATATATAGCAACTTTTCGGAGTTGCAGTTGTCTTTTATATCGTAATATTACTACCACATAGACGCGGACGTCATAAGGATGTAACAAAATAATACGTACAAGTTCGTCTAGTTTTTGCAGCCGTGATCTGCAAGCCTCACAAGAAGGACAATCCGTTTCGCGATGAGGTTCCGCTTTAATCCGAGAATTAGCAGCCATGCTCTGAAATTTCAATATTTATGCGTGTGGTTGGACCACGTTGTAGTGGTAAGCTTGATGTAAGCTTTATAAATATATATAGAAGAAGGTATGGCTTTCGACGAAAAACTACCTCAAAAATCATGAAACATATTATTAACTTTACCCTGTTGTGTGGCGAAACCAGTCACGTTTGACTAAAAGAATTCAAAAAAATAATAGCCCACCTAAATTCAGAACCAAGCATCAACTTTTGTTTAGCAAAAAGGGGTGCTCTACATCGAATGTATGCGTCTTCGACTAGACACCAACTAGCACTTACCACAACGCTGCTGAGTAAAAGTTTCGATGCATTCTGAAACATAGACATTATCTTTAATAAAACCAACCGTTTTCTTCCAAATAGAGATCTGAACTCACCACACATAATATATACAACTATATTAGTTCAGCATTTAGTGTAGTTCATTTCAAATAACCTGAGTAATTCATATAGCCCGCAAATAACTAAGATCTATACAGACAGTCTTTTCTTAGTGAGGTTAGAAATACTGTAACGTATATTTACAAAACCTGGAGCATCTTCTGCCCATCCAAATAATAATTATTATTTCTAGCTAGTGTTAATTACACCTGAGGACCTGTTTGTATATATAGAACTGTTGTATATATATATATATACATTAATAAATACATTTAATAGAAACGCTGCGTCGTGTATGTATAATAAAAACCAAGAATTATAATAACAAACTCTCATAATTCGCGCTAGCTCAAACATGTAGTTTATATTTAAAGCTTATTACTCAAATGGATAATATAAATTATATTCAAATTTCTTAGGGTTTCTAACTAGAGATTTTTAAATGTGAAATGATGCTGCATGTACTTCATTGCCTATCTTTGGAAATCACGACTCGTAGGCCTGTGTTGGCGGAATGTTGAAACAATCATCGAAACCTAGTTTAGAAACGCCATCCACAAGTAAATCGGAATTTAAGTTCGGATTATTACAACCACTAGTTACTCTTGTATTCTAGCCTACCTTATGTGGTGGCATTACCAAACTGCACCAAAGTCGCACCAACTCACACCAGTCGTCACGTTGACAGATACCCACTATGAAGGAACCTATTTTGAGACTTACGATTATTTTAATTCCAGCTTAGCTAATGCCTACAAATTAAGAAGTACACAAATCGCAACATACTAGCTAAAACAAAAATGTTTATTATGTGAAAACAAGTAACGAAATGTGTAGTTTATAAAATTATCATTTTTCGTATGCACCTTTCTTTATACGTGCGTAAGTGTGCATTAAACTCAAAGACATTCTTACAATTGGTATTGGCCAATATAACTTAAACACCTGGTAGTTTTAATTTGCGAATGCTATAAGTGTAGCAAACATCAACTTTCTTGTAAACGGAGTGGGAGAGCGCGGGAGCAGTCCCATTGTGTATAATCTACGTGGGTCGTCAAAAATTTATCCGCACGTCTTATTATCATAATCAAATGTTCGAGAATCACGAAACGTATTAGAAGAGATTATATAGCTCTATGAAAACAGCTGAAATTTATGTTAAAGATTTATTAGAGAAAATCGCTTCGATTAGTCCTTAAACAATGCTACATAGAAATCAAAGTATTAACAAGCTTTGCGCGAAGAGGCCTCTAGTATTGTTCTGATAACAGGATTATAATATCATAGTCGTATACTCGCACGTAACTTCAGACACTCAGCAGAAAGCCTACCTTATCTACTTTCATTATATAAGAAATTTATTGATCATTGTACAATACTTATATTTTACTATTATTCATACATAATTAAAACATTAAAAATAATAATAGCTTCTGTGTCAGTTTCCCTCTCGTTGTAGTGATTGTTTTCGTTTCACTTTCAGCTGATTTCGGTTTTCGTTGTGGGCTACGATTGTACATATCCAAGCCGTCCCACGATTTTCACTCCACCTATTATTTTTCTTGCAGCATATGAACACAAAGTGGCGCAGAGATCTTCATCCATACACAAATGGCCCGTAAACCTGTGGAGCATTGTTCATTCATTGAATCATAACATTGTTTTCAGGAGCCTGACGACTTCCTTCATTTGTGTTGCTGATTCTTTCCTAACTATCAGGTTTGTTTCAACTGCGGAAAAATCAGGAACCCTCAACCAACTACTTTATTCATTTTTAATGTTTAATAAGCACATAGATTTACAAAACAACACCGACATTTACAAGCCAATGTCCGTCGAAATTGCCGGCAAAACTTCTAATCAGATTCTTCTTTATTCCAAAATATCCTTGTTCTTAATATTCTCGGGGGTTTCCATCAAGTCCCGCTGGGTTGTTTTTGGCGACTCCCATTTTTGTCATTTATCGCTTGTATCTATTATCTACATTCGTTTATCGACTTTCACATATACATAACAGACATTACAAACGGTCTAACACGCGCATGAAACTGTTCTTCGTTTCTCATGTATTTATGTTGTCAAATGTATCATCCGTTTTTCTGTGTTGGAATTCCCGTTCCGAAATACCGAAATCCCGTCAACTGTACTCTCATGCCCATATGGGATTTATATATGTATATATATATATATATATATATATATATATATATATGAAAATGAATATATACAGCAACTATGAATCGAATTAATAACAGATCATCGTCGATGTGCGCGCATGTTGCTTCCGATAGCTTCCGGATAGAAACGGACAGCACTATTACGTGTCTCTCTTTTTCCTTTTATCTTGCTTATTCAACGAAGTAACAACAAGGGCTATATTTACGCCTCCTGTAATATCATAGCGTTCTCGTAACGTCTATCAGTAAACACCATTGTGCAGCATATATGATAGGTTGTGACGAGGAAGACACCCTTGATGCCTCTTCGATTTTAATCGGCGGTCGGGATGGATGACTTTATCGGTGCAATACTCAAGCCGCGTTATCTTCAATTCTCGACAACTTGTCAGGTCACGAAATTAGAGATAAGTTTACCGATGAGTGGAGAAGCTAACGCGGCGAGAACAGACAGATTGGATTGTTGTTATATGACGAGATATGCGCATTGCTAAAATTCGATTCTTTCTTTCTCTCCTTCTCATTCTTACTTAATTACTATACAATTGATTTGCCTTGATTTCCGCCGAGTTTGTCGACGATTGTGCTAATTACCGGCAGGTTCAATATGTTGCCAAGTAGCGGTATCCGCCGAAGGAAATTGACAACAACGGGAAAGAAGCCAGAAAATAGTAAAACAAATCCATACAATTCAAGACACATCCCGATCAGGGGCCAGCCAAAGAGGACAATGAAGATTCCACCTAGGAAACATCCAGTTGCGCGGACCTTGTGCCGTTGGAAGAAAAATGATAGAGTTCGCTGAACACCAACAACGAGAGTGAGTCCGGTAACAAACATAATATTACCCAAGGCAAGCAGACCCTTGTCGAACAACAGCAACATACCGAGTACGATAAAGGTCACGCCTAGACCCGATAATCCCACTCCTATTTTTTGCATATCGCTTATTTCAAACATTTTCATATAATTGTGTACGGCTGGTTACGATGTTCACTCAGTAGCGCCCGAACCCAGTGGGCTGCAACTGTCTGAAATTGGAACAGAAAACCGTAGTTAATATCAAACAGATTGTCTTCGGTTCTAGAGTTCATTCAAATAGTGGTGATACACGTATCCAAGGAATCAACTAGAGAATATTCATTTTGGGCCTAAGGTGTACTGCTCGCTGTAGATATTGTCAGGTACTATCCATTTCGTCAATTCAAAAAACGTTTCAGAATTTCATTAACCCATGATACAATTTACAATGCTATCTTGGACTCAATATGAACAAGAGTGAGAAAGAAGCGCGAGTATGTTACAATCAATATCGCAGCTATATGGCGAGAAGCTTACAAACACTTTGAACAAAAAGTCTCGCAGGGAATTGTGTTACAAATGCATTTGTTCTACAAATAGGCGCGTTAGATTTATTAAGTGCAGGGCCTTCACTACGACAACAGCAGTGTATGAACAAATTACTTTTAAGGAAAAACGTTGATACTCAAAATATTTGTTCAGTATCTGTCATGCAAAAAGTAGACGATGACTATTTCCTATATAATTTCACTCTCATGTCGAATGATACTTGGTGACAATGAAATTATTAATCCAATAAAACCATTGAGCAGATTTGAACATATTATATGCACTGGATAACAAGATCATGCCTGAAACACTAAAAGTATTGGAATTCTAAAATGTAGATTAGTTTATAAATGGAGACAGTCATGAATCCTGATTTACTATTGTTATGAAAGGTTTAAAGACTAACAATATTATGAGCTATAAAATTTTAACATTATATACTTGTTAGTAAAAAAAAAGTCAGAATCATTCCCACAAATACTGGTGTTATTATCTAGTCGTCAGAAAACACTGATTTATATAATAGCATACGTGCATGAATTATACGTAGCGGATAAGAGCAAAGAAGTAGGGTAAGCTAAACAATTGGTCGTTATATCGTGGTTAACTGATTACGAGAAAACACTTCAAGGATAGCGCATTGTCAACTGGCAATATATGAACAGGGACACTTCAAACGTTTTAATAGAATCTTATAAATATTTGGCATAAAGCAAACAGAATAAATTAGGGTACTACATAGCCAACTCCATCTCCTTCACGCAATACAAAACGCGAGCTTCTTATTTCTTTATTAGTGCAAACACGCAGCCCTACTGGGCTTAAAATAAAAAAATTAGGTCAGTGACAGCCTGTATGAGTCCACATCTAGTTAACGCGATCATCCCAACAGATTGTGCTTTGCCCAACAATACACACAAAAATACGCACAAATAAACCTTGATTACCATATCCAGCAGCTGGAAGAGTTTGCCACAGTCCCGCTCCACTAGATTCACTACCTCATATATCAACGTAATTTGTAAATGTAATTTCGTCTACGCACTAATAGACATTTCACAAAAATAACCTACACAGGGCCAATAAACTGCGTCCGTGCAGACTTCAATAAGAGTAACAGGAGTTTACGCCTACGTAGTAATCACGCCACATATTAATCGCTACTTGGTAAAACTGGCGTTACCGGAAAAAGATTGTTGCGAGCTATATAAAGAGTAATTATCTGACGGTTTTCACAAACGAAAAAATAGAAAATTTTTGCGGTAATTATTGCACAAGAATATCAATCATTTGTTAAACACAATAAAAAAAAGTGTATATATATATATATATCAATTCTATTTACTTATGCGCAACAATTTTAATCACTCGCATTGTTAGTAACATATAACCTCGAAAGTAAGAACAAAACTTCCACCTGCCTCTTATTACTTATGGCAAAAAAAAATCTGACCATGAATACCAGTCGCTTAGCGTAATAAATTTCTAGGCCACGATAACTAATGGTATTATCACAAAAGAGGCCCGTTATTTGTAGTAACTTTAAGTACCAATAATAGCAAATGACATCTCCACGTCACCATGCTGACTTTCTTAAGTAACAGTAAGATACTTACCAACGCGTGACACTTCACGTTGTCTCACTGATGATATCCTTGAGTCACACTCTCGAAAACAAATTACATGGAAGACAAAAAATCGTTGTCTTGAGGCACCGGCTTTCCTGTCGAACGCCGATCGCTGTAGCACAGCAGTTTCTGTACTTCGTTCCAACACAAAACAAATTTCTCAGCCTAGCCAACAGAACAAACCTCACACTGTGGCTAATCCGCGGAACGTAGACTCTGCAGAGAAGGCCTTTTCGCGGAACACATTCCAAAATATTGTTTGTTGAATTCGTACTGAGAGGGTTACGGCGGCAAATCTTTAATGTCTGATAATAATGTATTACACATAAATGTATCTTCGAAGTAAGAGTTGGCCAAACTTGTAGTAGCATTCGCGACTAGCCAAAAATACCGTAATGGCTATCACAAAATGGTTTTGCTTCGCTAGCTGTTGTCGGAATGACGTTTATTAATATACATACGTAAGTCGTACAAAGGTGCTATAAAGATATGGCGTACGTTTGCAGGCAACAATCTTCTTTTGTTGTTCCGCAATTTTCTTGCGTCAGTTTAGGGTCACTGTACAGATATTTTGAGGTAGATCTGTTTATTTTTATTTTTTAGATATTTTTCAGTCCACTGTAGTAGTTAATGCTATTAATGGTTGTCTTCTGATAACCCGGTGATGTCTCTGAATCTACTCCGAGAAACTTCAACTTCAAGTAGACACGGACGTACAGAGATTTATGTGTATTGTTGAAGTGTTCCAAACTAGTTAAGGAAACCGTCTTGTTGTGTCATGTCTATTATGATTGTTTAATGTGCTTACATGTGCCACAATAACTTGGAACTTATTATCAAGATTGAAGATGTAACTGAAGCGCGTCTTCACATTGATAAATAAGTTTCATCAGTTTGATAAGCAGCATATTTTTAGGGTAAGCTTTTTAAGGCTTTTATGATTTAATTTAATCTTTAAGCTCCACTTCAATGATTTATTATTGTCATTACCTACTTAGTTCTTTTAGTCAAGGTGAAGCCTTTATTAAAGGGTTCTCAAAATATTTCCGTGCATCAAAAACTGCAATAGCACAAAGAATACGAAATTGTAAAAAGCTTATCCCCACGTCGTAGTAGACTCCTCAATTACGTAATAAGAAATTGGCTTTGCTTGCTACTTCAATGCCCAGCAAGATGCCGAAACATAGCACCAAGAAAATGATGCCCAAAAATTAACAGAATAGTACATTCACCCCCCCCCCCCCTTCAATTTGAATTACTTCTTAAGGTAAACACTTCTACGACTTATTATTGTACAAATTGTAATTATGTACCTAGACCAGATGCATTAGCGTTGGCCATGGCCGCTGAAAGCTTGTGTAATCCTCAAAACAGTTTTTTCAGTTTGAATATATAAATGCGTTTGTTTTTAGTATGAAGCTCTTTCTGTACAATACATATTGAGTTAATAATATTCTAACACTGTGTTACAGCAATGCCACAATGACCCTTGCAACATAAAAAAAACTATAACTCTTACTTATATGATTTACTGAACTCTCTAATTAATTAAACATTTGAGTCTAAATAGATCTTTCTTTCTTCCTCGACAAGACGAAATCGAAGAAGACAAGGTAACTTAAAAATAATAACGTGTTCGTATAACTTTCTAGAAACGCTAAAATAATGATATTTTAGCTATCAAAGCTAGGATGTACAATTAAGCAGCATTCCTCTGTCATAATTATCTTTCTTTGCGTAATTATAACCTACCAATGCAAAATATAACCTACTACAAACGTAATACAAATTTATATATTATTATATAATATATGACTTATGCAAGATGTTATTCAAACAAATATCCCCGGACCAATAACTTTAGGGATTTACTGTCAAGAATAGCAATGACTCTCATAGTGGATGGACAAAACGTCGGACAATTACCATTCAGCCTCTATCCCTAGTATATGAAAATGAATGAATTGACTTCTTGCCATAAGGTTACCGCACGTACATGAGGTTACCGCAGCGGATTTTTTCCTTACGCAATATTTCAAACATTTTCTTCTACGCCACGCTCAACAGGATTTAAGTGGGATATAACTGGTCAAAGACTTTATCTCTTATGAAAAAGTTTTTAATAATTCACTCGTTACCCTTTACTAACCTGTGGCGGTACTATGGCTTGGGGGGGTGAAGTACTTTCGACGATATAAACAGTTTGACCATTTTCAATAGAATTAGCTCCCGGAAGTGTGATGGTGGAATTGCTAGTACCTGCTATAGCACCAGCGCTGATGCCACTTGCCGGTAACATCTGAAAAGTGTTCCAGAGGGAAGAAATGAATAAATGAATACGTTCTAGCTCACAGTCGCTATGTTGAAGTTTCTTTATGTCTGACGCTCACAAACAACTAGTGTTTAATAAAGGACTATTATATACAATATTTTAACAAAAATGCTGGAGAGAACAATTTCTAAACTGGTACACCCTGAATTTCCGGGCCACTTATTTAGTGATAGAATTTCCTCTTGCAGAGAAAATCGTATATTGTTGTTTCTATATCCTATTTTGTATTTTCTATTTCCCTATACTCCGTATTTTGCCAAACAGTATAATTTAGTAAAACCGAGGTAGTTATAAATAAATCTGGATTTTGTTAAAAAAATCGATTAATATCTGCCAGTAGTATTGGTGAGCTTTTTAGTATTAGCACGCTGCACCCGTAATATAGTGCATATATTTCGATACCGTATACACGTCGAACAATTTGCACGCATTTCAGCGATATCTTTCGGTATATATTAAATTTTATTCACCTCATTACAGCATAATGTGCGCCACATAATGAGTGCAGCTAATTTTCTGCGCGGCGAAACTAAACCATATTCCCGCGGGATTGAAGTCAAGTCAATAAATTATCCAGCTCCGTAATTCCCGCAACAATTTTCTTTTAAATATATTGTATTTTGACAATATCCCAAATGACCATAGTCAATATTATGACAGATAACTAGCAACTACCCTCGGCTCAGCTGATTGTAGTTCATCTGTATGTACAATGAGCTTATGTATGCTGTTTGATTTTTCACTTCAGAGACTTAAAAGATCATCTACCCAGTATTATTCGATTTACCATACGACGTATGTCCAAACCTCAGCGCTTTTGCTAGGTGCAATTATCCATAATAGTTACTTTTTGTAAGAGTTAAAAAATATACCGCCGAAACTTAGCCAATTTTTTTTTGAAGGATAGACACCGATCTGTAAGCGGCCATCTTGGAGGTTTGCAAATCTCCTGTACGCACCCCAACATCCCAACGCACGACTATAACCGAGATATGCCATTGTTAAGCGGTGCTTACCTTAACACTAGCTCCTGAATTTCGTATATGATAACAGTCCACAGATTTGGTTACAAAAATCACTCAAAACTTCCACTTGAAATTTACCGTGAGAAGAACAGACGAAGCAACATGTAAATGGCGCGCACTAAATCTCGGAAGGCGCAGACAAGTTGGACTGTGGCGAAATATAAGCGCGTGCGAAAAGGCGCGGTTACCGAAGGCGCCAATATTTTCCCTGCCCGTACTCTTGTAATTTTGAAATTTTACGCAGCCGCGCAAAGGAATACTCTAAATTAAGATTTTGTTATTTTCTTGCAATATTTAATTAAAGCAAGCTAACTCGGTTTGTATACAAAGAGATTAAAAGTGACTTTTTTGTTTAGCAAATATAAATGAAGTCTAAAAAAATCATAACACATTATTTATACCATCATTTTGATTTAAGCCGACTGCATACACGCGAAACGTTTACCTAAGTTCTGATCGAGGGGACCTTCGTTTTATATAAATTAAAAAGTTGTACCAAAATTCTTGTAATGTTCCAAGGCACCAATAGTGGGAATGTTATGTCTAACATAGTTGTAAGTTGCACTTATTAATATTTATGAGCATCTGAAGCCACAAGACAAATATCAGCTCTGACATGACAATCCAGAAGCAAATCACAGTTTTCATTTGATTCGAAAAAGCCGACTACGTTTTTGCTTGAGGAGCTTGTTTTGCAATACCCGTAAAAGTGTTTCAACAAATCGCATCGACAAAAAAGCAATAATGTTTTTCTTAGCTACTCTGGTTAGTGTCGAAACACTTATTTTTTATTTAAATGCTAAAAAAAATACATTCATCGTGTATCAAGATACAGCCTAAAAACAGCGCCGATTTAAGCCCCGCAATATGTATTGGGTAAACATTTTTTAATGCTTAATCAACCAAAACGAACGCAAAATTTGAAAATTTAGTTATCTTGCAGCTAAATAATAGTTTCTACAAGGTTAGGAGTTAAAATGCAAAGAAATTTGTTAATCAATACTTATTTTGAAGTTTGTTTTTATAGCTTATAATAAAATTATCAAATTCAATTCATACACGCTTGCTGGTGGAAGCAAAGTACCTCATATATACAGACAATTAACAGGATATCCCAAAATTATAGTAAATATACAGGACCATTAATATACTTATAGGGGACTCAGTTAAATTAATCTTACAAACTAATTTGAGAGATTTGCCAGATGTCCTAAAAATGGCACTAGAGGACAACGAGCGTTATGGTACGTATCACAATTTCCAGTACATTTCAAGGACATGTATGTATCGTCAGATTTATGGGAACCCGGTTCTCTGCAGAGTCTACCATGGAATCCATGCACGGCAAAGCGAGTGACAATATCTATGTTTAGCTGGTCCATCCTTCCCACTCGTCGTTCCTCATTACACAAAAAGTCCTCATCGATCTCTGCTTTAGAGGTTTAAAGATTTCTGTTGATTGGAGCTCAAAAGACAATGTAGGCCCTTAAATCGCACTGACGGTTTGGCTAAGGGATACGGCGGACGATTTCGGGTGGCCATGTGTTATTTGAGTGGTTTTACGGAAAGGAAGGCTTTGACGCGATTTAATTGTTTGACATTTTTCCCTTTAAGATCTTCCCAAACAGCACGTACTACATAAGATCGGAGTTGCCTTGAGGTCGAGCAAGCTGAAAAGAGACAAGCGACGACGCAACTCGTCACCCATGGGACCGACGCTATCTTAATGCATTTTTCGGTAACATAACGGGCGAAACATCTTCCGTCCGCAAAGACCACTAAGTTCAAATACAGAACACAGGCGAACCGGCATCAGTGACCGCTGTCCTTCTTCCTCTTCTAAACTCAACTGATCCCGTCTCGCTCATGTTTACAGTCAGTTCCCAATTCATGATTGACCCGTGAAGTCGAGCTAAAGCTTGCTGCATTTGGAACCTGTTCGACCCGTGTATCAATGAGTCGTCTGCCTACAAAATGACTTTGCGTAATTTTTTGGGGGCGCTTACTTGATCATGGAGGGCCTTTAGCAAAACGGGGAATGAGAATGGACTTAGGGTGTCCGCCTCGGCCAGGTCAGTTGTCTGTATGAAAGGTAGGAATTCAGCTACTTCGTGATCGATGGTTCGTCTGTTTTACTGTAGAAACGCAACGAAAAGGCTGAAGATATTCACGTCCGTCAGGGTAAGAATAATTCTGTCCCCATTCGCCAAGCAGAAAACTGTCTATGAATATCACATACAATGGATTGCGGGCGTGACCAGTGCCCTTTTGGCGCCGGTCATCAAGATCCTGTACGCTATTTCTGTACAACATTTTCGCCGGAACCCACGTTGCTTTAGGATGGCGGATACGGTTTGTAACTGGCTCATCTATTTTTTTTCATTGGCAAGCCGGAGAGCAACTTATTACAAAAACTTTCTCTCCCATGAAGAACGTAGAGTTGGGTCGCCCTTTTCCTTGAGGATCATTACCAGGTTAGCATCTCTCTGCAGGGTTAGGGCTTTACCAGTATCGAACATTAATTAAGCAGTGATTTCCAGCACCGTGTCAGAACGATGGCGCATTTGCGATACTTATTGCAAACCCTATCGGGACCGGGGGCTGTCTTGTTGCGTAGACTGCGAACACCTTTGCACAGATTTTCGGACTGAGAAGTTTTGTTGAAGAATATCGAGATGTATTGAAATTTCCTCCTCCTTCGCTGCGACTAAAGAGAGCACTGCGCATAATATCTTATAATTAAACCACGGCTTGTGCTTGCGAATCAATAGAGGGTCTCAATGTAGATAGAAAAATTTTTATCAAACGTTACGCATAGGTTTCGGTATTTACCACGTCAGGCAAAAGAAGAACTTGGTGGGCGCGTTCCATGTGCAACGAACAGGTGCACACAGTAGAAAGGCGCTACATTAAAAATGCTGGTTGTTCAAGTCTCTATTTGTACAAGGCTGTGTCTGCATTTAGGTTCTGGAGAGAAAAGAGAGCCACACTTGCCTCTCCCTGTTGCGCATTGGGGCCGGCCCTCCGGCCATCAATGCTATCACAACCAAGCAATCCTCGATCGTCGAGGCATGTAAAACCTGTTGGCCACGGTTCATCTGTTCGGCGTGGTGCTGTCTTCCTCATCGGTGGCCAGCTAACGATGACTTCGCTTGACAGCAATTTGTTTTTCTAAGTTGATCCGGCTGCTCAACCTTCGGTTCTAAAAGCCCAGTTTAGCTGGATGGACTTGCTGTTCAAGCGCTCTCAGGCTGTTGTTACCGATAGCCCTTGGGAGAACCTTTCACTCGTCAGGATTCACGCACTTCAAAAGGCCCCTGACAATACTGCAGACCCCTTCATTCTCATAGCTGCAACTTCCACTAGCGACGATCGAGCGCTGAGATATTATAATAAATTCATAACATAAGCCAAAAATGTTAAGAGAGGAGTCGGAGTTAGCATGATAGAGCGCATATCTTTATTGATTTGTATATATAGATTCATTATTGAATATAAAAATGTATATGGAATTGGTTCACACTGGGACTGGTATTTTTCCAACGTAGAACACGCACAGGTGTCTTCTTTAGTCCTTCCCGTATTACAATCATTATCCATATCCAATTACTAGTGTTCTTGGGTAAGATACTAATTTTTTTATACCTTAAAATGTTATATTTATATATATATATATATATATATAGTTTAGCGTACTCTGCACACTACTCAACAAATCACTCGTGACCACCTCTGGCCATTTCATTTATATT